TTAGTCACTCTGAGGTATAGTCACTGGATAGTCATTTTAATATGCCAACTTGACCTCAAACAATAATGTATTAAAGGATGGAATCTAAACATTGATGTGTACAGCTTTAAAGAGCAGTGATACCAGTCAAAATTGTTTTGAAAGCTCACCTTTCCACACTGCTAGAGCATTTTAAATTTTTTAATCTGCATTTATTAGATTTTAGGCTGATGTTGAATTCTTGTTGGTACACAAAAGACTAGAGCGTACCAATAAAAATGTGATTATCGACATTAATCTTTTATCAGTTATTCTGACACATGGTGATGAGAACTGTTATCTGGTTAAAGAGGGACATGTCAATTAACCTTGCAACCTGGAAACCTTGGCATTTAGTTACATACATATTTAAAGCAGAAACACACCTGGAACTCAATCATACAGGGATTTCTGGCACTGTGTTACTGACACAGGGCCCCTGATGTAGAAAGTGAATGAGTGGGAGGTTCTGACCATAGGAAACAGCTGCTGCTTCTCATTTGAGCTATCATGGGGGTCTGTCCTGATCCAAAAATATCAACAAATTCTGGGAAAAATCAATGATGAGTTGCTGGGGGATTCACAAATTCTGGCAAGCTTCCAACAGGAAAAAAAACACCACCTTATCTCTTCCCTAAAGGAAAATTCTCAGGAAATTTAGCAGATTACACTTATTCGGCGGAAAGCTTCAGTGAACCAAAGCAATGGAATTGCATGTGCAAACATTTGGACTCATACACGACATTAACTTCAGATGCTTGTGGACACACAAACATAGATAATATTGTGCACTCATGCATATATACAAGGATGACTTCATTCAAATTCACATACAAATGCATGCAGACTTTCAGACATAATGTAGATACACACACAAGGATTCATGTGGGCATGTATACATGTTTGCACATAGAAGAGGGCATCCAGACAAAGTCATGCCCAGATGTAAACAAATACAGGCATAAGCATGCAACAGTGGACACAACTGAATATTTGATGGCAAAATAAGGATTGCAAATCAGGAAAATCTGAGACAAAGATGCACGTTGCAGTAAAGAAGGAGCTGAGCATTATGAAAGTGGGGTTTGACAAAGTACATTAATTCTCTCCACTCTCTGGATGCCATCCTAAACTCTGGCCACTCTACATCTAAACCCCAGGTACACTTTTGGAGATGCATATTCTTCTTTGATCTACATTGCTAATCTCTGTATACCATCCCAGTAACATACATACTGGTACATTTTTACCAACCTGGGTAGGCCATACATTACCCAGCGTGCTAGAATAAGGGCTCTGCTCTCACTGGGTAGAAGCCTGTCCAGAGCCAGCAGCAGACCTGCTTAGGGGAGGGAATAATCCTGATGCCATGGACTGCAATATTGCCTCATCTGGTCAGCAGGGATTTTGGCCAGGGCTGGGGTCCAGTGTTGCCAGCTTTGGAAAACAGAATTTCTCCAGAAAAACCCCAACAAGTCACTGAATGTTGGAAGGGAGACCGATATTGTGACCAAACAATACAACTAATGATATTATGACATGTTGGGGGAAAAAACAATCTCCTGGAATAGCTTCAGTCAGAGTTAGCAATGCTAAAGGCAGCCCCCAGGAATTGCCACACCTGTGCCTCCCCGGTGAAAGGCGAGGATGGGGCACCGGAAAGCCTCAGCCCCTGCTGCCTTGTGGGTGACCCTGTGGAAGGGACAGGTTAAGGGAGCTCTCCCTCAGAGAAAAGCATCAGGCTTGGGAGACAACGCAGGGGCCAGGAGGACCCAAGGCCCAAGACCTGAGGAAGAGTGAGGCCTAGTGAGCGGCGTGGATGAGAGCGTGAGGCCGAGTAAATACGAGTAGGGCCTAGGAGGAGGCCTGACTGAGAGTGAGGCCCAGGTACATCGACAGACACCTGAGGCCTGAGTGGGCCATAGGCCGAGTTGGGGGTCCAGGCACATCAGCAGACACCTGAGGCCCACAGGACCGAAAGCCCCATGGCCCCAGTGGAGGGGCACGAGTAGTGGCCCCAGTGAGGGGACATGTCACCCAGGCCCATTTAAGGACCCCTGAGGCCAAGTTGGGCCAGAGGCCAAGTGCGGCCCAGTTAAGGGGCCAGGGCAGACCAGGACAGAAGCTGGATAGAGGGGACAGGCACCCCCTGAAGCTCCTTGTCACCAACTGGGAGCAGCAGAGGTGCCAGCCCGGGGCTGTTCCAACCCAGCTCAGCGTACTGCAGAGGGGTTGGTTGGGACAAAAGGGTGCACCAGTGTGGGGCTAGCTAGCAGGAAGCTCTGCACTGAAGTACCCTCACACCCCAGGGAGCCCCATCACCATCTAGGCATGTGTTGCTGCAGAATAAAAAACTCTACTGCAGGATAGTACTTGTATTTACAAGTACTAACCTTCAGTGGAGTTAATTAGTTTCTGTAGCCTAATAGCACTGCGTATGTACTGCATATGTAGATCCTGAGATGTTTACTGCAGCACTAATTAGGCAACTCCACAGTAAATGTCTCATGTAGACATGCCCACTGAGAACAGGGTTGAGCCTGGTATCATTCCCTAATCCTTAGAGATTTTCTTCAGGCTCTTGAAGACATTTCAATGTCCTCTGCAATATTTCAGTTTCTTCTGTGGTTATTTGTATATTTTGATCTTTTTAAAATTTTCCTAAAATAAGTCAATTTTAAGTTAGCTTCTAATGAGCTTTAATTTTAAACAGATGCCAAATATTTCTTGTCAGCCCCAGCACTGTTTTATTGAAACTCCCGCTCCTTGATTGACATTTTCCTTGCTCCTTAACCTAATGAGTATTTCTTGGGCTTCCTTTTAATGTACTAAAATTGTGCCTGTATCTAAAATGCAGTGTGTTCAATTCATCTGACTCATGCAGGAAAACTGCATTTGACAAAATATTAAAGAAAAAAATGGGAAATGTAAAAAAAGAAATCTGTTTGTCAAATGACCACCTGGCAGCTGCAGAGAATTAGAAATGGAAAGGATTGGTAAAGGCGTACTGATACAGGAAGGTATCTGTGGCAGCTGCGACACATGGGGGGCAGCAGGGACTTTTGGATGCTACCCACACCACAAAAGTAATTGTGTGGCTGCAGTGGCAGCAGGTTATTTTCTCGCTCCCCTTCCCTAAGTTGGTACCCATGACAGCTGTCCCAGTTCCTCCACCCTAGTTATACTACTGAGGATTGATCATACTTCATAATGGATCTCTTGGAGAGATGCTGGAGTTAGTCACTTTCAGATAAGTGTACAATTGTTCTGTAGAAACAATGGAAGATGTTTAAGACCAGTTGCTTGTAAAGAAAGCTTTTTGGTCTGATGGTGCTAGTAAAGAATCAGGAGCTAGGGCCTCCTGAGTTGTCTTTTGGGACCAGCTTCCTGTGACATTCACTTGTTGTCTTAAGTTCTCCTGCTCCCATAAAATAGGAACAGCATCTGATCAATCTCGTGAAGGTGCTGTGAGTTATAAATGTTTGTAAGTTGTTCTGAGCATGAAAAGGGCTGCAAAAGGACTAGCTATTATTATCAGTGATCATGTTACATTCCTAGTCTTTGGACTAGATTATTTCCCTTAAACAAGGCAGCCATCACATGAAGGCTTCCCATCTCTTCTCCCCCCCACAATTCCTATTTCTTGTGTTTTTCTGCTTCTTTCTTTAAACTAAGTATTATAAAACAGTAATGAGTGTCCTGAAAGCAGTGGGTGATGTGATCAAATGGGCAACTGCTGCTGTGTGTTTTCCATTACAAACAGCCCCAAATTGTCATTTAAATGCAAAGAAAATCATGAAGCAGCCAAACCTTTTTAAATCCTTTTATTTTCAAGTAATAATAATGACATTGTTTTAGCCATGAAATGAAAATTTTGTGCATCATTCACTTCAATGCTATTATAAGGATGATTTTATTTTTAAGAAATAAATAATAAATATTAGGATCTCCTGAGAATGCAGTCAGAACCCACAGAACCCAAGGTAGAACAGGGCTGGAAGGCGAGACAGGGGACACAGAAGTCCAGCTGCTAGTTCTTGTTGAGATTTTCCATGCCTCTGCTCAAAAGAAGAATGATAAACAGGACTAAACTAGTCTTCCTAGAGCAAATCCTATGTGCTTACGTAGAGAAGTGCTCATGGGAGTCAAGAAGAGGTTGTCTGGGTAAGGAATGAGTAGTCACTGACTTAATATCTCAGGAATTGGTCTCTATGAATAATCTCTAACATGTAAAATACTGTGCTACAGTCTCATTAGGAAGATTTGTTCAAAGCAGGTTTTCCATGACAGTGCTGAAAACATTAGAGCCCAAAATACACTAGCATTTGTATTTTGGCTAGCACTAGGCCTGTGCGAAGTGGCTTGTAATTGCTTTGGATTTGGATTTGGAGTTGGCCAATTCTGGGGACAGAGATTTGATTCGCTGATTCGAATCGCTGTTCCAAATCGAGTCGGCTGAATCTGATTTGGAGGTTTGGCTGCTGCTGCCCCAGCTCCCAGCACTTTAAAAAAAAAAGCCCTGGCTCACCGGGTGCTGATGGGGGCGGGCGGGGGAGGCTGGGATCTCCCATAGTCCCCTCCCCCCCTCCTCCAGTCCTCCCCTCCCCTCCCCCTACTTACCAGCTCTGAGTCTGGCTCCAGCACCCTGCTGCAGTTGGCAGGGACTGTCCAAATCATCGAAGCTCTCCGAATCTTTTCCGAAGATTCAGAGAGCTTCAAATAGATTCAGACCTTTTAATTGGTCCCCTGATTCAATTCAAATTTGGAGATTTGGCCACCGAATCGGGCCAAATCTCCTCCCAATTGAATCAGCACCTGAAGCTTCGCACAGCCCTAGCTAGCACCAGTATAGTTCTACCACTGCTGAAAAGAGGTTGTACCACCTTCTAATGGAACTGCAGCCTTGAAGCCTGACTCTTATTGAGCTGAAGGGCTGGTCAATATGTAATGATCACTATGGGATGAGGGACATCTTTTCCAAAATTCTGAGCAAGTGAAATATATAAACCCCCATAGACAAGCCATGCCCAGCAGCTGCCGGCAAAATTTTTTCTTACAACCACTTTTGGGACCTTATGACTGTCCCAGGACTTTATGTTCAGTCTCACTGCACATAGAACTCTATTTTTCATGGCTCACCAAGTGCAGTAACCTTCTTCATATTCTGCTTCCTTTAAAGTACTATGACTGCAGATCAGTTCCAAACAGGCAGGGGATACAAGTCCCAAATTTAAAACCAAAGGCAATTTTAGTATTTCCTTTTCCACATTTAATTCAAGAAAGTCTCCATAGGTTCAGGTAGGAGCAACACAATATCTGCAAGCTTTTTGAGGGAAGGGCAAACCCTTCTCTGCCTAATTTCTATTGTCTGAAGGGCTCCTTTCATAGCACCCAAAGCAGAGGCACAATGAAGGAGGCATGTTCCAAGGGAACTGTCTGGATTTGAAAAAGACATAAAAGATAGGCACTCCTACATAGGTACTCACCCAAGGGCACACTTTGCAAATGAGAGTATAAATGGTTAAAAACAACATGTAATGTGTTCTGCTTACGGGACGCTGTTTTCCTGATGCTAACCAAATAGCCCCATTTTGCTGAGAAGGGAATTGGCATAAGCTGGAAGAATAAGCACTTTATGCCATTTTAACATAATTTCCAGTTTTCTCAATGTACAATACATTCAGCTAGCCTCCTCCCTCTCCCTTTTCCCATGCCTTCTCAAAACCCAGCCCTGACTGAGTAGAAATTTAACTGCTTCCGCTGTTGTGGTTCTGCCTTTAATTGCACTAGAATCATAGAAAAATAGGGTTAGAAGGGAATTTGGGAGGTGATCTCATTCAACCCTCTGCCTTGTCTTCCTAATCTACAGTTCTGTAGTTTTATCTGTCCACTGTCAAAACCTGTAGGTTCCTTCAGGTTGAAACAATCATTTTTAAGGGGCATGATTTGAAGGGTGTCACCAGGAAGCTCCATGTACTTGGGGAATTTCACAAGAGTTCGGAGCACACAGTGCACCTCATCCT